TTTGCCGGCTGCCCGCGCAACCCTCTGCGGAGATCGTGCGTGTCGAGTGCGCGAAACACAGGCGAGAGTGTGATTTGGTACGCAACTGTAGTACGCAGAGTGGCTGGGGAGCTGGAAGCGGAGAACTGGCGACGTGGTAGTGCGAGAGTAGTCGCCCAAGATCCGACGCTGTACGCGGAGCAGGCCCAGAAGAACTGTCGGGTGTGGTCAGAGATCGCACGCACTTTGAATGCCAGGCGTGCCATGCTGGGGAAGAAACAAGTCGTGCTCTTCCATTGTTTCGGCGGCATACATCGCAGCCCCGCGGCACTGGCTGCGACGTTGATGGCCAGGGAAGGTCTTCAGGCGCAGGAAGCCATTGAACAGATTTTGCGGCGCCGACCTTCCTTGCGCCCATGGAAAAATCGAGACTATATTCTATGGGCACTGAAGCATTGGGAGACTTTGCTGTCCAAGCACGCTCACGCGGCTTTGAGTCTCTGAGAGGCTCGGGACATGGACGCCGCTCTGCGAAAATGTATCACCGCGACGGCATGGACGCTGTTCTGCAGAAGTGTCGTCGCGCGGACTAGACGGCGCAGGCAAACAAAAATAGGCGCGGCGCCGCCGTGAGCTTCAGCCTCTAATCTCAGCAAATAGTTTAGCATAGGAGATATCTTCTTGGTTTCTCCCCAAAGCTCTTGTTTTTTTCCGGCCAGGTGTACTCTTCTACCAGGAGGCGAGGACGGGCGAGGGCAGAAGACGAAGACAAATTCATCGGCGCGGTGCCACACTGAGCTTCATGAAACAGCCTAGCACAAGAGACATCTGAGAGGTTTCTCGCCAACCCTCTTGTTTTTCTCGCCAGGTGTGCTCTTCGACAAGAAGGCGAGGACGGGCGAGGGCCGAAGACGAATACCACAGTACACACGATTGTACGCTGCGTCAGTGCTACTTGGAAACTGGGTTCCGGTGCTTCGCAGCCAGTCACTTGTAAGCACACCTCGTCGTCATTCCTCTCACCACGCCGCCGCGCCATGACTGCCCTGCGCCCAGTGGCTTGGGAAGCGTGGGTGGCGGAAGCGAAGGTTTGGTTGCGCCTACATCCGCGCGAGGACCATCGCGGAGTGCCACGCGAGGAGCGCCAGCGATCTTTTCCCAAGAGGGCGGCGTTTGCGCTGGTCACTGCGGCTGAAAACTTACCCGGACGAGACCTCGGAGCCAACCTTGCGAACTTTGCGGGCAGTGGACGCATTCCTGGTGCGAGGCTTGTTCGCTGCGGCCGTGCAACGCCGTTTGTACCCAGTGCGATGCCGATCACCTTATCTGTCGACCATGCCAGCGTCTTGCGCGGTCGTGGGAAGCGGCCCGCGCTGCAAATACCATGCCGCCCGATTGCATCGAACTCAGCGGCTACCACGACCAGACTGGCAGGTTTGTTCAGGTGGACCCCCCGCTCCGCATCCCACTGGCGGACGTGTCACTAGATGGCACCCTCGACGCCGCCCAGTTGGCCCAGATGGTCGCCGCCGCGTCTCCGGAGCGGACAACGCAGTGAGAGTCTCCCCGACGCAGGGTGTCACCCATGGTAACTGCACGTCTCATACCACGACTTCTTCCTTACAAATCCTGTGTGGACGTCGTTTTGCGGAAGCACGACAAGTATAGACATAGTGTCGGGGAGTCTCTGCCCTATACAAGGGCTAGTCGCGAGCTGAACGACCAGAGCATACGAAAACATGCGCAGTGCCTGCTATGTGTCACCTCGTGCTACTTTGTTGCATGTTTCTGTGGGAGAGGCGATTGGAAAATGAGCAGCATAGTGGTTCTCAACTACATCTAGAGCGAAGCACAGGTCACCCTCAGAGCGCCTGTGCCAACAGACTGTGCGTTTTCCGTGACTGACCTTTCAGGGCTCACAGTGACATTGCAGAAGTCTCCATACAACTTGGGCCAACTACCACAATATCAACTCAACAGCAATGAAGAATAGACTAGCAAGAAGTTTGAACGCGCCCCACAAGCTTTTGCAATATTCATTTCCCACATAAACCTTTACCAGGCAAACCGAGCCTTCTTATGGCTATGCATGCGCTATTTACTACTTTACAGCCCACTAGCTCGTAGGTCTCCCTCTTTGCCCAGCCATCATGCCAGGGAACCTTGGCATTGTTGACGACCACTTCTTCAGCGTCAACCAGGATGACCAGAGACAGGTGTGCCTCTGTTGGTCCTATGGAAGCAGGACATACCATGACGACCAGCCAGAGCTCATCCATGAAAGATGGCCAAACCAGTCCATAGCGGGTTGCCCATGGAGAAACCTGGCAGTTTTGGCGAGTGGTCCAGTGGTCCAGTGGATGGGAAGACTGGGTTAGGAACAACAGCCGCAACTTCACAGATGCCTACACCATCCAGATCTGCTTCGGGGGGACGCGCTAGACCCAACCAACTGTGTGTCTCATACCGTGACTTCTTCCTGATATATTCTGTGTGGACGTCGTTCTGCGGAAGCACAACGCTATCCTTGCTGTGTACAAAGACTAGTCGCGAGCCGAACAACGAGAGTGCGCTAAAACATCTACAGTGCCTGCTGTGTGTCACTTCACGCTACTTTGTCGCGTTTTTCTCTGAGACAGTCAATTACTCAATGACAAGCATAGTGGTTGGTTATACTAAAATATCTACTCAACAGCAGTGACGAATATACTTGGAAGAAGGTTCACGCAACCCACAAGCTTTTGCAATCGCACATGAACCAGAGCCTTCTTATTCCTCTTTGCCCAGCCATCATGCCAGGGAACCTTGGCATTGTTGACGACCACTTCTTCAGCGTCAACCAGGATGACCAGA